CCACACAGGTCCCCATGGATGAGTCACTTGAGCTCACAATCTGACGGAGAGGACTCACTCTCTAGTGACCTCATGCCGTCTCCTAGTGTAAGCACCATCCAGCCCCTGCCTCCCAGTTGTCTACCTCTAGCTCCAACACCCTTAACTCTAAATATGTCATCAAAGGCATGTTCGACAGCTCCCCCAAGACCCCTAACATGCACCACAGAGTGTACACGGCAACACTGAAGTCTTACCTCCCACCCCCACTCCACCTCTCGGATGTATGCTCCTCCAGTGGCTGTCCCCACCTCAGGACGTAGCTACTTTCTAGCAACGATCCAGGCCAAAGAGACTGTCCCTCTGCTTCCCATACGCCAGTCCAAGGCGGTCTTTCTCAAGGAGATGGCCGCTTAGCCAGGGTGGGCTGTGCTGCAGCGAGACTACCTTTGTGAAGGTCTTTACATGTCCTGTGTCCTTAGCCTAGAAGCTTTCCCCAGATGCCCACGGAGGAGGCCATACCTGACACCTCTGTGACGCCGCTGTTTGCTCATACATCTCTCCCTGGAAAGGGCCTCTGCACAGCACCCCACTATTACTCTCCCTGCATGCGGGGCCCCTCAAACTGACATGCTAACTCCATGCCTGTCTCCCCATCCACTTGGATCTTCCAGAAGACAGGGCTTTGTCTTGCTCACTGTTCCACTGTCAGAACCGAGGCCAGGACCAGAACACAATAGGTGCTCAAGAAATATTTATGGAATGAATGAGTGATGACCACTCTAGTCCTTTTACCAGAGTTTCATTGGCACCTATGGGGTGCCAAACCTTGCAGAATGCCTAGGGAAAACGGACAAGCCCAGTCTTGTCTGGGCAGAACCCAGACGCTCCCACCCCAATGTAGGCTTTCCTACACTGCCCTGAGGACAGAGAGGAGAGAAGGGGTGGAGGCTGTCCTGTAACTGTGCTGCAACTGCTCAGGAGCTTGGAAGCCAAGGGCTCAGATGCATCTTAAACAAAGCTTGGAGGTTAAGCACTTGGCAGAGAAGGCACCGTGTCATTAGAAGCAATTAGCACCTCGGGCTCCCCAGGGCTTGGCTGCTAAGCCATTAACCCTTTGGCTTTCTGAGGAGCCTGGGAGTCTGACTGACAGGACAGGAACAAGGCTTGTGATGGAACACCTCAGGCCTCCAGGTCATCAGAACCTGGAGAGGTAGGACCTTTGCTGCTGAAAAGTCTGCCCATTCTGTGGAGGGTAGATGCTTCCTGCCCTGGCTCCCTCCTCACATGGGAACCCTACTTCTGGGGAGGCAGCTCAGGGTTCAGGAAAGCCATCTTACCCTCTCCATAGTCTCCTCCTCCATCAGCTTGAATGGGATTTGAGAGGGTGAAAATTTCTCCAAATTCCAGATCTTGTGCCTACAGCCAAGGCCAACCAAATGCAAGGCAAATTCCAACAAACTATTGATAATTTCCAAGTACAAGATGCAAGACGTGTTTGTCACCCACCACTGTCACCTTCAACTCCCATATCTGTTGAGTCCTAGGGAAAAGATGAACTATTTCTATGTGTGCAAAGAACACACCCCAACAGAGATTCATACATTTACACTGATGCACACCAAACCAGTTCTCAGTAGAAAGACCCGAATCTCCCTACGTTTTTACGTTTTCTATCTAGTCCTTGCAAACATCCTACTCATCAGTCGGGCCTAGTAGACCCTTCCGAGCAGGAGAAACCAACTGGAACCGTAAAGGAAGCAGAGGAGTGTACAGGGAGGCATAGAACAGAGGTCCTGTCAGTGACCATAATCCCTCCCCCGCCTCCAGCAAGTTCTTCCTCTCTGCAGCTCAGGGTTCAGGGTTCATGGGTCAGCTGTCGGGAGGCTGGGCAGGGAGTACCTGGTTCGCAGATTCTCTGGCTGGGGCGGGCCATCGAACACCGACAGGACATCAAAATCCTCTTCCAGGGCAAAGGCCTGGAACACGAGCTGGATCCTGTGCTGGTCTTCTGCGGTGATGGTCCATGTGCAGTTGGCGTAATTGGGGTAGCCATAAGGGAACCCTGGGCTCTCGACTGTCCCATTGGGCCCCCGCAGTTGGTACGTGCAGTTCTGGCCTGGGAGAGAGAAAGAAGGCAGTTTAGTGTGGTCAGGACTCTGGAAAACTTTTAGAGGCAGGGGGGCGGGGGCCGAGAGGGGCTAGCCCACTTCTGGAAGTGCTCCTAACGCCAGCACGGAGGGAGGGAGGGACGTGGGCTGACCAATCTCGGCCAAGCTCACTCTGGGTCCCCGCCCAGCCGGGGGTGAATTGCGCTTTTTTGTTGTTGTTGTTTGTTTGTTTTACATTTATTTATTCATTCATTTATTTTAATTTGACCAGAGAGAGACGCTGAGAGAGAGGGAAAATGAGAAAGCAAGCCACGGTCCAGGACTCAAACCATAGTTGGCCATGTGGGAGTGTCCAGCACTTTAACCACCATGTCACCTGCTGGCTCCCCACATTGTTTTACTCATGCTGAAGAACAGCTATGAGGGAGGAAACTAAAGCTCAGAGAGTCGAACTAAAAAATAATTTAAAAATTAAAAAAAAAAAGGCTGAACCCAGACTTGCCCTTTACAACATTTAGTGCCAGAATGACAAGGTCAAGCAGCCTCCTTGCTCAGCTACTGACTTTTCCCTAGCCCCCCACAGGAGTAAACGCCATCAAAGGGGATCCCCCATCTTCCCAGTTCCAAACCATTCCAGCCTGCCCCGGGCTGTGCTCACTCCTCCTGCAGGGAACCCCCGTCCATCTGAAGGTAGCGGTGGGTCCCCTTCTCTCTGAGGAGCGCTGGGCCCGAGAGGGGCTAGCCCACTTCTGGAAGTGCTCCTAACGCCAGCACGGAGGGAGGGAGGGACGTGGGCTGACCAATCTCGGCCAAGCTCACTCTGGGTCCCCGCCCAGCCGGGGGTGAATTGCGCTTTTTTGTTGTTGTTGTTTGTTTGTTTTACATTTATTTATTCATTCATTTATTTTAATTTGACCAGAGAGAGACGCTGAGAGAGAGGGAAAATGAGAAAGCAAGCCACGGTCCAGGACTCAAACCATAGTTGGCCATGTGGGAGTGTCCAGCACTTTAACCACCATGTCACCTGCTGGCTCCCCACATTGTTTTACTCATGCTGAAGAACAGCTATGAGGGAGGAAACTAAAGCTCAGAGAGTCGAACTAAAAAATAATTTAAAAATTAAAAAAAAAAAGGCTGAACCCAGACTTGCCCTTTACAACATTTAGTGCCAGAATGACAAGGTCAAGCAGCCTCCTTGCTCAGCTACTGACTTTTCCCTAGCCCCCCACAGGAGTAAACGCCATCAAAGGGGATCCCCCATCTTCCCAGTTCCAAACCATTCCAGCCTGCCCCGGGCTGTGCTCACTCCTCCTGCAGGGAACCCCCGTCCATCTGAAGGTAGCGGTGGGTCCCCTTCTCTCTGCTGTCCACACGCCTGCTTCTCCCGTACTCAGGCCCGGTCATTCCCTCTGCCCCGATCCTTCCCATTTTGAAAGTGCTGGATACTCCACCATTAGGAAAACAATTCCCTACTCCACTCCTCGCCTCCCTCCAGCCTGTCCCTCTCCTCCCCTTTGCCGCCAAATGTATAGAAAACACTGCCGAGACTTCCTGTCTCATTCCCACTCGCTCTCCAACCCTTCTCCAGGTAGGCCCACTAAGGTCACCGATGGGTCTGGTGGACATTCTCCCATCTTCAAGGGAACTGACCTGTCGGCTTACTCTAAGGCTGTCACTCACCCTCTCCTGGAAACTGTGCTCTCCAGGGACCAGCAGATGGCGCAGTGGTTAAGGTGATGGACACACCCATATGGACAACCACAGTTCAAGTCTCAGACATAGTGGCTTGCTTTCTCGCTTTCTCTTTCTCCCTCTCTCGCTCTCTTTCTCTGGTCAAATTAAAATAAGTGAATGAATAAATAAAATTAAATAAATAATTCTAAAAGGAAAAGAAGAAATTATCCTCTCTAGACAGAGCATCTCAGACCTCACTATGTGTGGGCTTCACCTGGGACCTGGCTCACATGGAGACTCTGTGGGAGAGCATGCGGGTGGGCCTGGGGGGTCGCGGTCCTGCCTAGCTCCCCGGTGATGTCATACACGTGGGCCGGGGGAGTGCAGGGTCCGACTTAGCTGCCCATGATGTCATATGTGTAGGCCTGGGGTGTCCGCGGTCCTGCCTAGCTCCCCGGTGATGTCATACACTGGACCCGGGGAGTCCGCAGTCCTGCCTAGCTCCCCGGTGAGGTCATACACGTGGGCCTGGGGAGTGCAGGGTCCGACTTAGCTACCCATGATGTCATATGTGTAGGCCTGGGGTGTCCGCGGTCCTGCCTAGCTCCCCGGTGATGTCATACACTGGACCCGGGGAGTCCGCAGTCCTGCCTAGCTCCCCGGTGAGGTCATACACGTGGGCCTGGGGAGTGCAGGGTCCGACTTAGCTACCCATGATGTCATATGTGTAGGCCTGGGGTGTCCGCGGTCCTGCCTAGCTCCCCGGTGATGTCATACACTGGACCCGGGGAGTCCGCAGTCCTGCCTAGCTCCCCGGTGAGGTCATACACGTGGGCCTGGGGAGTGCAGGGTCCGACTTAGCTACCCATGATGTCATATGTGTAGGCCTGGGGTGTCCGCGGTCCTGCCTAGCTCCCCGGTGATGTCATACACTGGACCCGGGGAGTCCGCAGTCCTGCCTAGCTCCCCGGTGAGGTCATACACGTGGGCCTGGGGAGTGCAGGGTCCGACTTAGCTACCCATGATGTCATATGTGTAGGCCTGGGGTGTCCGCGGTCCTGCCTAGCTCCCCGGTGATGTCATACACTGGACCCGGGGAGTCCGCAGTCCTGCCTAGCTCCCCGGTGAGGTCATACACGTGGGCCTGGGGAGTGCAGGGTCCGACTTAGCTACCCATGATGTCATATGTGTAGGCCTGGGGTGTCCGCGGTCCTGCCTAGCTCCCCGGTGATGTCATACACTGGACCCGGGGAGTCCGCAGTCCTGCCTAGCTCCCCGGTGAGGTCATACACGTGGGCCTGGGGAGTGCAGGGTCCGACTTAGCTACCCATGATGTCATATGTGTAGGCCTGGGGTGTCCGCGGTCCTGCCTAGCTCCCCGGTGATGTCATACACTGGACCCGGGGAGTCCGCAGTCCTGCCTAGCTCCCCGGTGAGGTCATACACGTGGGCCTGGGGAGTGCAGGGTCCGACTTAGCTACCCATGATGTCATATGTGTAGGCCTGGGGTGTCCGCGGTCCTGCCTAGCTCCCCGGTGATGTCATACACTGGACCCGGGGAGTCCGCAGTCCTGCCTAGCTCCCCGGTGAGGTCATACACGTGGGCCTGGGGAGTGCAGGGTCCGACTTAGCTACCCATGATGTCATATGTGTAGGCCTGGGGTGTCCGCGGTCCTGCCTAGCTCCCCGGTGATGTCATACACTGGACCCGGGGAGTCCGCAGTCCTGCCTAGCTCCCCGGTGAGGTCATACACGTGGGCCTGGGGAGTGCAGGGTCCGACTTAGCTACCCATGATGTCATATGTGTAGGCCTGGGGTGTCCGCGGTCCTGCCTAGCTCCCCGGTGATGTCATACACTGGACCCGGGGAGTCCGCAGTCCTGCCTAGCTCCCCGGTGAGGTCATACACGTGGGCCTGGGGAGTGCAGGGTCCGACTTAGCTACCCATGATGTCATATGTGTAGGCCTGGGGTGTCCGCGGTCCTGCCTAGCTCCCCGGTGATGTCATACACTGGACCCGGGGAGTCCGCAGTCCTGCCTAGCTCCCCGGTGAGGTCATACACGTGGGCCTGGGGAGTGCAGGGTCCGACTTAGCTACCCATGATGTCATATGTGTAGGCCTGGGGTGTCCGCGGTCCTGCCTAGCTCCCCGGTGATGTCATACACTGGACCCGGGGAGTCCGCAGTCCTGCCTAGCTCCCCGGTGAGGTCATACACGTGGGCCTGGGGAGTGCAGGGTCCGACTTAGCTACCCATGATGTCATATGTGTAGGCCTGGGGTGTCCGCGGTCCTGCCTAGCTCCCCGGTGATGTCATACACTGGACCCGGGGAGTCCGCAGTCCTGCCTAGCTCCCCGGTGAGGTCATACACGTGGGCCTGGGGAGTGCAGGGTCCGACTTAGCTACCCATGATGTCATATGTGTAGGCCTGGGGTGTCCGCGGTCCTGCCTAGCTCCCCGGTGATGTCATACACTGGACCCGGGGAGTCCGCAGTCCTGCCTAGCTCCCCGGTGAGGTCATACACGTGGGCCTGGGGAGTGCAGGGTCCGACTTAGCTACCCATGATGTCATATGTGTAGGCCTGGGGTGTCCGCGGTCCTGCCTAGCTCCCCGGTGATGTCATACACTGGACCCGGGGAGTCCGCAGTCCTGCCTAGCTCCCCGGTGAGGTCATACACGTGGGCCTGGGGAGTGCAGGGTCCGACTTAGCTACCCATGATGTCATATGTGTAGGCCTGGGGTGTCCGCGGTCCTGCCTAGCTACCTGCCAATGCCAGGAGGCCCCTGGGGCGACGCCCTGAGCGTCCTCACATCATCGCACTTCTCCTTCCCTCGCCTGCTCTGCAGCTAGGCCTTGCCCTTCCCTGTCTGGCTCTCTGACTGCCCTGCCCTGGAGCCTTTCACAAGCTGTTCTCACAGAACACTGTCCCCCCTTTATTGGCACAGCCCCCCCCCAAGAGCGCCATCTTGCTTTCTTCCTTGATGGGGTCAAACCCCCTACCATGTGCTGTCATGACATCAGACCTTCTCCTCAGCTGCCCTTTTCACAGACACAAATTTCCAATTTCCATGCTTCTGTGCGGTAGTTTCCTGGCTGGGAGGTCCGTGAGAGCAGAGAACACATGTGAATCTGCCCATCTGAACCCACACCCGAGCTCGATCCAGGTGTGCGCTAGGTTCTCAGTAAGTTCACGTAGCATCGGGTTGTTGGGAAAGTCAGGACACATTTTAGCACAGAAAAACAGAAAAGAATCCACCATGACTGTTCTGACAACCCAATACTTCTGTTTCCTGTGACTGGTTAGATGCTCACCGAAAGCTTTCTTTACAACTTCAGGTGAATACTATTAATACTGCCTCCATTTGACAGATGAAAAACAAGAAATTAAGGGAAGGGGCCAAAGTCACTGCCACTCACAGGTGGGATTCGAATGTAAGCAGTATATTTTGAATCCCTTCTCTTCACCATGATGCTAATACAGTGATTCAACACTCATTTTTTTAAAAGCACACTTCAGGGATTAACTGACAAAGGACAGTTCATCTCGAAAATGACTTTAATATTACGAAATCTCTTCATGTAAAATATCCCATTAAAGGAGAAAAAAGTTAAGGTCTTCTGAATAAATGCTAAAGACATTTAATAAAACTAGGCACATAACTCTGATTTAAAACCACAAGAGAACACTTTCTTAACAGGGTAAAGCATCCATCCCAAAACAATATCTACATTGTACTTGTGGTAAAACATCTGACTGAGATCAGGAGGAAGCCAGAGACAGCACTGTCACCTCTGAGACGTCATGCCTTATTGGAACAGCCAACCCATGTGACACAAGTAAAAGAAATGAGAACAGAAGAAGCAAAAGTATGGTTTGCAGATGATATTAGTGTACTTAGAAAATCCAGGAAAGCAATTATAAAGCTATTAGACCTTGTAAGTTTCAGTAAAGTAGCAAAATGCAAAATATTAATAAGACACAGAAATCAGAAATCAATAACATTCCTACATGCCAGTGACAGGGTAAAAAGAATACGTAAAGAAATGGGGACCAGCAGTTGATGTAATGGCCATGTTGTTGGACTCCCACGTAGTCGACCACAGTTTGAGTCCCGGACCCGGTGGCTTAAACTCACGCAGAGTGTGTGTGCGTGCGTGCCCAAGATCCCGAGAGGAGAATGAAGAAGGGATTGTGGCGTGGCCATCCCCCCGGGGGTGATTTCTTGCTTTCTTTCTCTCTGTCTCTGTCTTTCTGGCACACACACGCCCTATAGCAAAAACCTCTCCAAAAAAAAACTTACAAAAAAAATTTTAAAAGGCTTTGCTTATTGTCCCACAAAATGCATATAATACATAGGACTAAATAAGAAACGTGTTGATGGAGCCAACAGGTTGTAGTGGTTAAGGCACTGGACTCCCACATAGTCAACCACCGTTCAAGTCCTGGACCTGATGGCTTGAAACTCATGCTGGGTGCCTGTGCATGCATGCCCAAAATCCTGAGAGGAGAATAAAGGAGAAGGGATTGCAGAGTAGTCATCCTTCCTGGGGGCTCGCTTTTTGCTTTCCATCACTCTGTTGCCTCTACAGTGAGCTCACACAACCTAAAGCAAAAAAATCTCTTTCAAAAAAAAAAAAAAAAAGTGTTGGCACTATAAAAATAACTTTTATAGAGGGATAAGGAAAATTTGAATAACTGGAGAGACATAGCATAATCTTGAGTGGAGAG